AAAACACAAACATTGTCCTTTTGGGCGACTCCGAAAAACACAAAATAGTCAAAAGGTTTGCGTATTCGACCTCCCAAACTTCTTTGTGGAGGCTTCCGTTCTGCGTACAATCCCAGTCTGTACCTTCGAAGGTACCCCTTGGCTGGAGTGACGTGGCCGACAACAAAAGAAAGCGTCTGCGACAATTGCCCAAAGGTTGTGCAATCTGGCGGCTGACTGTGATTGCTGTCAAATTAAACAACGGCAAAAAAACCCGAAGCCCGCATTTAATACGACACTGTGTACAGTTGTCATAAGTGGCAAACGGGTAAGAGCGAACGGGCGAAGAGCATGGGATATGTGGCAAACGTGTAAGAGCGAAAGGGCGCGGAGCACAGAGCAAGTAAGGACTAAGACAGAAGTGATGTCAGCACAGATGCTAGACCGATGCGTGATATGCATTATAGGAACCCGACAGTAGTATGCGGGAATGCAGGTAGTGGGGACGCAGTAAGAGGTCAGGGAGAGCAGTGCGCATTTTTGGTGTTCAGACTGAGAGGAACACAATTGACAGGCGATTGAGACCGTTGGACGATTGCGGGGAGAGGCAGTAAGTCCGGAGAGAACGGTATGCGGATAGCGCATTAAACAGTGAGAAAGAGAGGGAGAGAACTCAACAGTAAGGGAAGTACCGAATCACTTGCAGCAGCCTTCGCCAAAGTCCTTTACTATCCAGCTGTTCACCTTTGCCAGAAGGATGCAGACACCGAATACGCAGGCAGAATCAGTGCCTATGAGAACAGTACATGAGCAGAGAGCACTGCCAGCATTGCAACCGGGGCTGGGCAGAATCTCGGCAGAGTCTTCAACCCCCGATCGCCAAAAACTATGCGTGCACGTGGTAAGAAAAGCAGCCCTTGGTACAGCAGTAGAAGACAGTGCATTCCGGCAGTCGCGTGGCACATCCGCGCGAAGGTTCTGCAACCTGGCAGTCAACTGACTCCTATCAAACTATGCAACTGTAGCTCCAAATTCTCGACGCCCCCTCACAGGCCGTCTGAGGCTTCAAGCGCCTCATCCTTTCCGTGCACGAGTATATTCACGAGCACCATTCGCTGCTAGAGTGGTTGAAGCTCTACCGCGGTAATCGTGAGCTCCGTTTCACTGGCATGCCACAGTATAAATGCTTCAACTCGTGCTGAACATAGTATGGAAGTGGTTCGAACGCTTCAGCAGAGGACGCCATGGAATCTTCTTTAAAAGATATGTCGGGTCTATCTCTCCAGGCCAAAAATGCAAATGTGAGCAGTGTCAATGACCAAAGGGATGCCGCTGATAATGCCACGTTAAATGAAAGTAATTAATGATTGGATTATGGTAGAGGATTCAAGTGCAGTCCGAGAGGCCATGGAGACAGAAGCTCTAGAAGATGTGGAGAGAACTATTGAGGAAATGGATGGGGGGGGGGGGGGGGGGGTCCGGGTGTGTTTCATCTGGGCGAACTGAAGCAGAGCATACAGATACTGTACAGTGATGGAAGAGATTTCTAATGCTAGTCAGTCTCGTTCTCTCTCCTTGATCGAAGCAGCGAATGATTCTCAAGATTAGAGGCGGCAGTGGTAGCTCTCTCGCTACCTGACGCGTCTTCACATTTACGCAAGGCCAGACGCATCATATTCGAGGCTCTTAAGCCACAGAAGAAGCAGAAACAGACGACCTTGACGGGTTTCCTTAGTTAAATACAGTCTTCTTGTTAAGTTACCTTTCTTGAGCCAAACCCGATTTAATGCCTATTATGTCACGCTACGGGGGGTAGCACTAAATAGGGTACCTTTCTGTATTTTAATATCAATTTCATACTAACACTAATGACACACATGCAACTGCACGTCGCGTCGCGGGAACAAGAAGAAGAAATGGATGGCACGTAATGTTATAGAAATGCCTTGGCACTACACCTGATCACAGCAATTAACCTTGGTCTATATATTAACCTGGGTTCAGAAATAAACTGGACCAGGTTATTATTGGTTTTGACCTGGAGGAAACAGTCTTATGATAAGTCGCATTTAGAGTTCAAAAAGGGCGAGAACGCATGTCGCCGCCTCGATATGGTCTTTGGGAGGAGAAGCAGCTCTTTTCTGAGCTGCAGACAATAATATCCAAGCATCGTGTCCATTTCAATGGGCAAGAAGTAGAGCCGTAATTTCTTGAATACTTGTCAGCAATGTTAGAAATCAAGGTTAATCCAGTGGTTCACAAATAAACTGGACCATGTTATATCTGATTTGACCATATATTAATATATTAATCTGGGTTCACAATTAATCCGGACCATGTTAAATATGGTTATAGACCTGAAAAAGGGGCCTCAGAATTAAGTTGGCCCAGGTTAATTGCTGTGATCAGTGTACTGCAGTTGGGGCGGCACCTCCGTGTAGTTATGTGGCGTGACTATTCTCGATGCCGACCATGAAAGGCCGAGGCGGCCACGCAAGTCTGTCAATCCAGACCTCAGCTACTGTACTGTACTAGTACTGTACAGGGGGGGTCGCGCAATAGTGCTAGCTTGAGTAGTGCCGCCCTCGATTTAGTGCTATGCGAAACGCCATGGCACGGGTTATCATAATGTCCTTTAAAGATGGTTTTGTGCGCTTCCTGAGTAAAAGGTCGTATTTTGGTCCTCTTTGTATAATGGCAACCCTGCAATAGTGCCACATATACAGGTTTGTGCCGGTATGGCACTATATCGTGGGACCCCTGTATTTCCAACAGCCTCCTCCACATTGACGAAGTAACAGTACATGCCCTAATGTAGCAAATCGGATAAATTTGACATGTCGAAAATTTGATCGTCAGCCCAGCATTTCCCGCGAAGCCCGACACCGAAACACTGTTCTCTTAACACAACTTCGTCTTTCTCCAAAGATAGTCCCCTATTCCACGATTTATGGCGATGGACAAGGCCGGACTCCCCTGCGATTCAAACATTGGCGCCTTTTCGTGACACACGACACTATATATCCTTCTATTTTGCAAAGAACTGCAAAGAACCGCCACCTCTTCAACGATGGACTCCGAAACGTTTCGTCTTCGGGAAGCGGTTTTCGATCGGCAGAGAGAGTCCCCTACCCCTTACAAGTCTCTAGCTATCAAGCACAAAGTTTCCGTCTCGAAGATTAGAACGGCGTTCCGTCACTGGTGCGCTAATGCCCCGAATTCTCAACCGCAATCGCTTTCCAGACTTTTTAAAGTTGGTGACGAGGTTACTGTAGAGAAACTTATTCTTGCTTTCAACAAAAGCCAGCGATCTTTACTGAGGGATGCAGACGTGGAGGACGAAGGGCGCGTCAGGATCAGTACTGCAATGGAGCTCATTTGACAAGCGAACTTGTTTTGCAAGCTCTCAACGAAAGGGAAGAAAAACGAGCACAAAACGAGGGAAGGAGAACTAAAAGCAGAGCACAAGGTGAGGGTTCCGCAGCGAGGGCTGAGTCGGCAGTTGCAATGCGGAGATATGCCGCCCTTGCTGATGAGCGCATTGAAAAAAGAAAGCGCTTAAGTGACACAAGGAACCACCGTCGCTTCCTTCGTCGAAGGCTTGCTGCTCAAGGGAAAAGTGTGCTTGGCAGCACACATTGACACCGAGTACGAGGGTAGTTATTTGCATTAAATTGTATTGGGCCAAACTCAATCATTCTTGTGTCAAATTTGGGATTATGTGATTTGAGCACTGTTTTTGATGGTCACAACGAGCTTCCCTGCGCGATGGCTCTGAGACACTGCCAACATATCAGATTTTAGTCATGCAGAAGCTGCTGTAAGCTTTCGATTGGAGGAAAAAAGGAGCAAAACGAGCCACGCTTTCCTATTCTATGCTCTTTTTAGCATTTCCTTTCCTGAAAATTTTCTTTCATGTCAAATTAAGGCATGAACTGTTACCCTTCGGTACAAAAAACAAGTCCATGGATTCGGTCAAGCCAGTCCACGCAGCCGACCACCACAACGATGTCACGCTGCTGCACAGTCTCTTACCTGCCGTCACTGCACAGTGAGACCATCATCTTCACTCAAAACCTATTGCACACACACTACTGAAGGTTACCATCAACCTGTGATCATCCACCCATGTCCACTAAGATGTATGGTACTCTCACTGAGTTCTGGCACTGAGTTCTGGCACTGAGTTCTGGCACTGAGTTCTGGCACGAACTTCATGCCACCACGAACTTCATGCCACCACGAACTTCATGCCACCACGAACTTCGGGCCCTCAACCAGAATGGACATCACAAAACAAAGGCTTGTCCACATGACAGTCTCGTTGGTCACGCTGTCTCGCTACGCGACTGCCACACAGGCAATCTCGTCCCATATCTCCACGCGAAGCACCGTCCCGCAAACGCCACCACGAGACCCGTCCCGACCCGTGCTCTCACTCCGGCACCCATTCGTCTCATTCCAAGATAAGATATTGCCCCCATCGCAGCCGTTGTGGCATACACCTCGGCGTGCGAGTGCAAAATTCTCACCTTGCGATTGCACAGCACATCACGAACAGCCCCGCCAAAAGTCGCTGTCGCCATCCCGCACACCACGCTCACAATCGCTGGCACACCTGCGCGTACCCCATTTTGGGCCCCGATCACCGCGAAAGCTGCAACGCCCGCAGAATCCGTCACGAAATGTAGCGCGCTATTGTCCTCTTTCTCACGCGGCCACATCGCAAATGTCAAGCCACTCGCGAGTAGACAAAGATACAAATACTCGGGCTCCTCGGTCCAGAATGGGCGCGCGTTGAGGATGACGGCGTCCCGAATGGTGCCGCCGCCAACCGCGGTGATAGTACCCACTACGCATGTGCCCAAGGCGTCCATACCAGAAGTGGCTGCAAGTAGTGCGCCTGTGTGAGCAAATGAGAGCGTGCCGACATAGTCTAGAGCGCGCAAGCCACCGGGCGTGGAGAGCGTCGGAAAACGAGGAAGAGAGTCAACTGGCAGCTCATGAGAGATCGGGGACGTTGAAGCTGATCGCTCATTGGAGGATAGAATTCGAGAAGATCCATTCGCGCGTGTAGTCAGGACGCGAGATCGCGAAAGAGCTCGTAGATGAGCGAAGCGGGAGAGCATTGGCGATGAGGGGAGGCTGCATCAGCTGGCGGACGAAAAGGATCGGGAGTGCCCGTTGCCGTGGAGTGCGCGCGAGGGTGCTAATTTACTGCGATGAGAATCGGCAAGTATCGAAGAGGAAGCCTACTACCCGCGAGAGGTAGCCCAAGAAGCTGACTGTCGGGTGCGGTGAGTTGGGGAGCGGGGAGCGGGGAGCGCAATGGACGTGGGGGAGAGGTGGCGCCCCGGTTACCTTTGAGGTGCGACAAGGCATGATCGGGGGCGTTAGAGAGGAATGCGCGATGAGTGCTGATAGGGGTTGAGCAGCTAGACCAATGGACGGCCGTTGGGACACGCGTGTGGGCACGTTATGAGCAGTAAATGGTCGCGAAATCGCCACTTGGAAAATTTTAATTGGGTGTGTTAGTCTTCTTTCTCAGGTGCAAATCCAGCCAACAGGTGTGCGCCAACTGAGAGCTCGACGACGCAAACGGCCATCCCTCTTGCGTGACAGACGCCCATCCACAGCAAAGTTGTGTAACAAAGCGACCGAGCACAGCTCCTCCCCAGCTTCTTCTGCTTTGCCGAAAAAACTTTCTCCCTTGGTTCCCTCAACCAACCCGCATCGCCTATTCATCTCCACCGCCGCCGTGATACATAAATGCATATCTCCTTCCAATCTTCTGCACCGTGTCTCCTTCTTCAATGCTCCACTTTGCTTTCTTTTTTCCTCCTCACCACTCGCTAATCATTCACTAGTAGGGCCCGCATCTCTCGTTTTCCAAGGGCCCGTCGTAGCCACCCTTCATCTGACGAAACTGCCAACCGACTCCTCCACTTGCAACACCTTTCGCACTTAAAAGCGCATATTTTCTTTTGTTTGTTTTCATCTGTGTATCCCCTTCGATAAACAACTACAAACGGCATTCATCTTCTCCTGTAACTGTGTGTACACTCTACGCGTAACATCATCCAAACCTCTACTCAAAGACAGCATTTGCACACCCGTTACCACCGTCACCTCGTGCTAAAAGACTACACACTCTGCTTCGGCCATCTTTTCTGCACTGTACGTTTCCATCTCGTTAATTACCGCGAAAAAATGCCTCGCACTTACGCCAAGCTCTCAGAAGACGACATCACCACCCGCGCCATCTCCGACTTCAAGTACGTCTTCAACCTCTTCGATATCAACAAGGATGGCAACATCCATCTCAATGAATTTGGTCAAATTATTGAACTTCTCGGCGACCAGCGCCCCAACGACAAACAGCTTCGAGACCTCATCGCGGAGGCCGCAGGCACCCCTAAGGGACAACGCGTCCCCGACTATCTCAATTTCCAACATTTCCTCAACTTCTTCGCTGTCTACGATACCTACCAGGACATCAATGAAGATGACATCTTCAACGTGCTCGATACCGAGCACACAGGCATCATCTCCAGTAGGGAGCTCGCAAAGACTTTGCATGCATTCGGCATCAACCTCGCGCAGGACGAAGTTGACGCCATGGCCGACTTTGCATCAGCGCGTCACAACACGACACATTTTACCAAGGCTGAGTTCCAAGATTTGTCCGTCCGCTTGAGTAACTATCGCAGGTCTCAACAAAAGAAAAGTCTCGACGAGAGCCACGACGAAAGCGACGACTAAGATGTTCCGTGAAGCTCCGTTTTTACTTACATAACACTCGTTGTGGCATTGTGGACAGGTGGTTTTTACCGACCCTGTCATCGCCATTTTGCGTGACTTTTCTCGCCTCTCTCTGTACCTCTATATGCACATGCAGGCAGGCACGACTGTTGCGGGCACCTGACCTTCGCTGGGGTCAGTCCGAGCCCGTATCGTCGCTGAGCTTGCATGTACATTTTCTGTTTTCTATGCTGGCGAAACGCTTGCATGACTCGGTAAGTCACAGCGGCGCGGGGTGGACTTGCAGTGCGTCATCGCCTCTGACTGCCGTAAGGCATGTTTTGTGATCTTCGGCGTAGCTAGGAAGATGGCGAGAAGGGGTAGCGAAATAGTGATTAGTGTTATTGTAGAAGATTGCGGCTTCCCTTGTTACAGTAGAAAATTAGGCTCGACTCACACTCCCAAGTGTAAAGAGAGTCGTGATGGGACTAGTGGACCTTCTGTTGGTGGCCCTACTGTGGGAGTGGTGGCCCCGATGACCATTCATTGGTTACATCATCATCCAAGAAATGAGGTTTTGCATCACTCTCTTGCTTGCCTTTTTTTCTTGAAAAACCGATATTTTCAGAATCCTCTCCCGACCCTTCCTGCTCTTCCGCGCCCGTCAGGTTACGACCTCTCTTCAATCCTCTTTGCTCTGATATTACTTGACTTGCCGTCATTCTTAGCCGTCCGTCGTCAACGGAGCTCGAGCCCGCATCCTCACGGTCCATAGTTTCCGCCTCTGTTTCATTGACATCCACCATATCAGATGTTGATGCGCCCTTTGTGACTTCAAAACTCTTCGGAACCACATCTGTGCCTTGTTCCTCCACATGTAAAGCTTCTCCCGCTATGTCACTATCATCCTGCTCTATCTCTACAGCACCAACAGCGTTGCTACTTTCAAACGTAGGTTCGCTTTCACCGGAAGTTGCTAGCCCTATGTCATTCCTGACACCACGTTCTGCCGCATTTGTGGTTCCATCTGTTTCCACATGGATGATGACATCATTTTCTTCTGCTTTCCTCGAGTCCCCTGTTGGACCTTCAGTCGCCACAGTAGAATACTCGTCTAATTCATCTTTACACACTAGCCCATCTGTTGTGGTGTCCTCCACTCCGTGTTGGACTGATTCCTGAAGCTGCTCATTGGACTCGTCTGCCTCCTGCGATACCTTTGGCTGCGACATGCCTTCATCTACCAGTTCCTGTCCGTCCGCAGCGTGCTCCTGTCCTGTTTCGGTGATTGCGTTATCCAGTTTATCATCCGCTGCCTCCGCTGCCGTTGCATTACTCCTGTTCTGCCCTTCGGGCTGATACCCTCCCAAGTCTGGGTCTGGGTGGCTTCCGTGCCCTTTCGCTAAAACGCCAGCCTTGTCGCGGTCCTCATCTTCGAACACAATCGCTCGACCTACGGCTTGGTCAGTGGCGTGATCTGGTACATGGCCTGGGTGATGGTCGTGAGTGTCGACATTATCGAAAACATGCTCTTCACTTCCCACAAGTTCACTGTCTGCAACTGGATGTGCAGCGTCCCTATTTGGGCTTTCAGCTCTGTCATGCGCGACATGCTCATGACTATGAACTGCTGGGCTATGATTGGGACAGTGGTATTGCGCTCCAATCTCTTGCGGCTCTGACTCGGCAAGATGCGCTTGCTGCTCGTCTTCGTGCTCGTGGACGTGGTCAGTGTGTGGCGCATGATCAGGATGATCTTGGTAGGCATCTTCGACCTCTGTCGCTTGCCCTGCGACACCGTGGATATGGTGCAACTGGTCGTCGCCGTCCACGGCAGGGAGTTGATGCGCACCCGACTGGTGTTCGTCAGTTTGAGGAGAGTCACTTTCTGGCGGATGGGAGCTGTGCGGGATGTCTGAGCTTCGATGCTCGTGATCTAAGTGATGATGCGGCTCGGAATGTTGTTTGTCAGCGTGATGAACATGTTCTCGGTGTGGGACATCCGCGGTGCCGACCTCCTTACCGTCCTGGTCATGGGTTTCAACCGGAGGGTGTTTGTCGTGATCAGTGCTATGGATGGCGGGATGGTGGTGTTGATGATGAAGATGAGCAACGGGGTCGGCGTGATGGGGGTCCGTGTGATGGGCGACGAGGACCTGCTCACTAAAAGTCGGGTCATGGTCAATAGCACGAGCATTCGGAACGTTGTTTGGATACTCGTGGGACGCAGTGAGGTGATGATGATGATGATGGTGATGGTGGTGAAAGTGATGATGATCGTGAGGGTTGTCATGGTGATGCGAATGATCAATAGTGACGTACTGGTCGTCGGCGTCCGACTGCGGCTGCTCATGGCCATACTCGCATGTGACATTGACGTGCTCCTGCGGCGGGGTGTCGTCAGGCTGGCGCGAGGCGTGGTGCATCGGCGGGGCAGTTTGCTCAACGACAGCAAAGGAGTCGTTGACCGGCGTGGTGTGGACCGGCCCGACATGCGGTTGGATAGGCTTTCGATCGGATGGATGCCCCGCGACATGGGGCTGGGTGAGCTTGTCCGGGTGAGCAACCAGCAGGGTCTTTTGCGACTTGAACAAATTGCGCCACTTATCCTTCAAGTCGACTGAGATGCGACACGGATGAAAGTCATTGGCAAACTCCCTCAAAATAACGGCCCACCTCCCTTGTCCATACCTTGCCACGCCGGTACGCAGTGCGCAAACCTCCGGCTGACTCCATCGCACGCGCTTCGCTCTCTTGCCCTTGTTCTGGCTGACGTTAGCGCGGGTGGATGCCGAGCATCCGATGAGGCCGGCCAGGACGTCGTCCATGCCATCCTTGGACACGCCCTGCCTCTCAAGCTCTGCGCGCGCCTCCTGTCGGCGCTTCTTCGCTGTGGCGGCGGCGCGGCGCGCCAGCGAGATGGACTCGCCGCGCATGACGATGGCCGAGGAGCGGGCTGAGTCGCGCGGCGGCGGCGTGGCGGGCGCGCATGGCGCGGTGAGGGGGGCGGGACGCGCGGCGGGTGCGGGCGGCGGCGGGGCGGAAGAAATGGTGGACGCCAAGTGGGCCGCGGGCGTCATGGGGGAGGCAGAGACCCTAGGAGACAGCAGACCCTAAGTCAATGAGCGTGGGGAAGACTGGGGAACAGGCGGAGGCAGTTAGGGCATGGCGGGGAAGCGCGGAGTGGGGGGGGGGGGG